GAATTTCATCCTGAAGCCTAAGTAGGGATGAGTCAACACCTAACACGTGTTACCGGGTAGCCTATTCCCGTAACAAGAGCGAAGCCTATGTATTCAAAATCATAGCACAAAGTCTCAGAGAATTCACTCTCTTAGCACAACGTTACATGCGGAACGGGTTCGGACAATCCGCATGCTAGCCCGATTTCAAACGGTAATCGGTAAAGGCACATCAAACCCGTTGAAGGCTGGGGGTTTGCCAAAAATCCCAAAGTCTGTCTAATACACATTGCCGGTTTAGTCTTTCACCGATTGAAAAAGACATCAGAATCCAGTCTGGGGTATTTTATCCCGAAGCCTAAGTAGGGATAAGTCAACGCCTAACACGCGTTGCCGGTTAGTCTTTGACCGTAAAAAAAAGACAAAAGACCACATATTCAACATTGTGGCAGGTTGTTATTAATAACGCCAAAATCCGTGCTTCACACGCGCGGGGAATTTTATCCCGAAGCCTAAGCAGGGATAAGTCAACGCCTAACACGCGTTGTCGGTTTAGTCTTTTACCGATTGAAGAAGACACCAGAATCCGAGTCTGGGGATTTTTATCCTGAATCCTAAGTAAGGATAAGTCAGCGCCTAACACGCGTTGCCGGGTAGTCTATTCCCGTGAGAAAGACGAAGTCTACGTATTCAATGTCGTAGCACTAAAAGAGTTAACTCTTTTAGCACAACGTTATGTGCAGAACGGATCTAAACAATCTGCATGCTAGCCCGACTCAAACGGTAGTCGGTAAAGGCTCATCAAACCCGTTGATGGCTGAGAATTTGCCAAAAATTCTATAAGTGCGAATCATTGATGCATCAGCTTTGCTAGTTGGTCTCGTGGCTCGATTATCCAACAATATTAAAATAAGACCCACAAATGCAGATGAATCAGCTTTAACAGTTGGTCCTACAACCCCGACACTTGGGACCGCTGTGCTCCAATACCTTAAGAGCTTAAACTGTGTATACTCCAGTAAATGTACGAGTATAAACTGTGTCAACGTACGACGTTCGAAACCCTAGGGTCAACGCCGGTCAACGCGTAACCCTAGGTCAACGCCGGTCAATGCGTTGCGACAAAAAGTCAACATTCGACGTTCGAAACCCTAGGGTCAACGCCGGTCAACGCATAACCCTAGGTCAACATCAGTCAACGAGTTGCGACCAAAAAGTCAACGTTCGACGTTCGAAACCCTAGGGTTAACGCCGGTCAACGCGTAACCCTAGGTCAACGCCAGTCAACGCGTTGCGACCAAAAAGTCAACGTTCGACGTTCGAAACCCTAGGGTTAACGCCGGTCAATGTGTAACCCTAGGTCAACGCCAGTCAACGCGTTGCGACCAAAAAGTCAACGTTCGATGTTCGAAACCCTAGGGTTAACACCGGTCAACGCGTAACCCTATGTCAACGCCAGTCAACGCGTTGGGACCAAAAAGTCAACGTTCGATGTTAGAAACCCTAAGGGTCAACGCTGGTCAACGCGTAACCCTAGGTCAACACCACTCGACGCGTTGTGACAAAAAGTCAACATACGGTGATCTGAAATCCTAAGTCAGCACAATATGACAGAGATAGTCAATTCAAAGTCAACTCAATGACACGAGCCAAACTCAACTCACTAGTGATAGACTCGAGATTCCGACGACGGCCAGGCGATAAACGCAGCGCCGGAAGAACTTCAGTTATTCGTCAAAGCATCGAATAGACCGAAAATCGAAGGAGCCAAGAGTTGAAGCTAACTACAGGTCCTTTACGCCGACTGAAGGCTGGATCAATCACATCCAAAGTATTCCAGCCTCTTCTATAAAAGAAACGAGCCTGGAACGCTTTGGAGGGGGTATCTGTAGGCATCGAAAATTGCCTATGGGTCTCCACAAATAGCTCAGTGTTAAAGAACGACAATGAACATCACTATCTGGTTCACAAGAGTTCAACTGATGTCGGTGAACGCTTGAAGTGAACCGACGAACTACGTGAGCTGATAGGATTTCGGAATAACGAAGACACAGGCTAATCGAGAACCCCGCGATGTTTACAAAAGGAACAACGTCCTTCATGTCTCGTTCATTCTACAGATAATCTAGCCATTGGAACTGATAGAATTCTTCGTCAGACTTCCAACGCATTTGGAATCACTCAGATCCGAGTTCAGACAAAGAAGTTACAGCGAAAACAGTCAAACGGGCATTGAAAACGTCTCAAAGCTGAACTGAGGCACCTACGGTGTCTCGGCCAAATCAAGACACCTCAAGGGTGTCTCTCATGCCTATAAATACAAGCCTTAGGCCTCATTTTTTTGGGATCTGGAGTTTTGGAGAATTGGCGAAGCCCTGCCGGAGTGAAGAGTGATCGAGCACTTCAACGCAAGAGAGTTTCTTCGTCAGATCTATATCACCCGTACCCGATCCTTAGTATTATCCCGTTGTGGTAATACTAAGAAGAGCAAATATCTCGCTTTTATCGAGATAGGCGCTTCAAGTTTCTAGATCTCCTCGCGGATCGACGAAGCTCTGGATCAGATCTGATTGCCAGGTAGTCCACGGATATCGACGTCCCCGTCACAGGCTAAAGACCCACGCAAGCAAGAGACGACGAACGGATCTTGTGTTTATTTTTCAAGAAAGTTGTAATTTTTTTTTCTTTGTTGTTTGAATTCATTTGTAACGTTTGAAGTTTTAATGAAATCAATGATGAAGGTAACTTTTGACGAAAACAGATGTAACCCTCTAGACTGTGATCTTCTATCATGGTTTGGACTCTTTGCTCTCACGACCAATGCTCTCGCTATTGACTCAACAGAAGTCTCATTATCCTTCTTTCGAAACTGCTAATTCACAAGTGCAACGGTGACCTCACTATACGAAAGAGATGTCTTCTCATTAATAAGAGTATGAACGAATGTCTCATATTCCTCGTCGGGTAAGGAACTCAATAATAACAATACATTGTCCTCATCTTCAATCATCACATCTACATTCGCCAAATCCGTAAGAAGCTTCGTGTAGTGGTTCATGTGATCACCAATAGAGGTTCCTTTCTTCAATTAGAAGTGATAATGTCTCCTCTTCAAATACAAGCGATTTTCCACACTCTTGGTCAAATACTTGCCTTCTAAGATCTCCCAAATCTTCTTAGCCGAAGTCTCATTGATTATATCATATTTCAAATCTTGAGTTAAACAAGATCTAATCACACCACACGTCGTTCTATTCATCTTCTTTCAAACCTTCTCCTCAATGTCATCTGGTTTCCCGTCCAACTCCAATGTGTCTTCCAAATTTTACACGTTGAGTGCATCCAAGACTTCACATCTCCAAAGACCAAATTTGTTTGTGACATTAAACTTCTCCACATCTATTTTTATAGAGTGGATATTCAAACTTTGGACGGTCTTTACGCTGAAAGTACCATCCACAACTCCTTCTTTCTCGATCATCTTTCTCAAAGCACCAACAAACTAATGTGAAATAAACAAAGAATAGATCCAAAATTGAAAAAGATAAAGTCTTTACTAAAAAGATCCCACCTTTATCACCAAACGAAGCCTTTAACGAGCCTCCAAAATGATCTACTCCTCCAAATAGCCCAAGCATAGCCCGAGCTCTGATACCACTTATTGTGCACGGTGGAAGACAAAACCAAACTGATGTGCTTCGAGAGACCAAATCAAACAAATACCGAGAGAAGGCCAAACAATGTAAAATAACAGCACAAACTCAAACAACCAATTTTAACATGGTTCGGCAAGTTACCTACGTCCACGGGGTAAGAAAGGGATGGGGTTTTCACTAATAAAGAAGAAGAGTACAAACTGAGGTTACAAAATTACTCAAACTCATCAATTAATCTTACCAACAAAGTTCTAATTCTCTCCAAACAAAACTCTAACCAATAGCTCCAGAAAATACCTATTTTCTGTGCTCCAAATATCCCCTTCGCTACTCAATTCTCTCTTCCTATCGTTCCATATATATAGAAATCCTAAAACCAAAATATACTAGGAATTCTAAAACTAAAAATAAAACAGATTAGGAATCCTAATAACCTGTTATCAAAACAGATTAGGCTTTCTTTGATTTTATCGCTACGTCATAAGCTATGTCATAAACTTAATGGGGTTTTCTAATACTTTGAATGTTAAGGTGGTTTCATGATAATCAGCCAAAGTTAAGGGGATTTTATGTTATTTAGCCTAAATTTACTCTAAACTAATGCTATTAAATAAAATTTCACAAATTACATCAAATCCAATACAAAATCTCAAATTACATCAAATAACTTCATCATGCTCAAATTAAATCAATAAACTAGCATACCATTAATCAAATTACACCGCATGCCATCAAATTACATTACAAATTTTAAAATAACATCCAATAACTGGATCATGCTCAAATTGAATCATACAACCTTCATACCTTTTACATAATTGTAGCAACAACCAAGACCCCAAACACAATCAAGAGAACCCTCATCGATCAAGAGCGACGCTTCATCAAACTTCTCAGCCAACAAGCTCACTTCTTTTGAGATTTTCACCTTGAAACTCCTATCATCGTCAACCCAATTAAGCAAAGTATCCACAACCCTCATAGGACGCATTCCTATATTGCGCACGACCATAGAATTGTAGACCTTTATTCTCTCAATATTGCTTGCCAGTCCTAATCCTACATTGTAATCCACGAAAACATATTATATTAGCCCCCTCGACGCTAACTCCATTGCTAACTTAATTTGACGGTGAGAACTCCATTTTCAACTCGCCACTTCACTATGATTAGAGGAGGAGAGAAGAGGACGAGATCTAGGGTCGGAGGAGGAGAGGTCAGGATGAGATATGGAGTGTTAATGGTCTTTTAAAGACACCAAACACGAAAGAGCCACGGACTAATATCAAAAATACTCAGATTTGAGGGACTAACATCAAAATAGCTAAGATTTAAGGGACTAATATCTTAAAAAACCCTAAAAAGTATCAACGGAAGCCAAAACCACCCTCACTTTTAATGACATATATTAATTACACTTCGATCATTAATCAGCACAAAACAAATCTCAAAGTGAACATCGATCATATTCTCCAAAAGAAGAAACTAGTAAGTTTCCCCCTTGCCCAAAGGTTCATCTAGACTCCAGTTTGAATTGCCGTAGGGGGGCAGAGAGAGGGACTTGACTATCATGGTTAAGCTAGTTTGGCGAGGTAGTGCTGTTCTCTTCAGAGGGAGGCTGCTTACTCTCTGCAGGCTCTTCTGCTGCTCTCCTGCCGCTAACTCCAGCTGGCCTACAGCATGGCCAGCAGGAGCCCTTGCCTCTAAGTCTGCTGATGCTTGCTTCGAGATGGTTGAAGTAGGTTTCCTGTTTCTGTACATTGAGTAGAGGATGAGTTGAGCTGTGCCTAGGATGAATCCTGTTGCATTTGGAATCTGCAATTGTGCACAAATTGACCATTATTATTGTCGGACTTCATGTCTAACAAATTTTTGAAGGGAAATAATTAAAGTGTAAGTTTCACAACAACTGTGAAACTTTGGGGGTTTTTTACACAAAGCTTTCCTAACTTTTTGGTCCAGAGAAAATTCTGATGAACTTTCAAAATTCTACTAAATTTTCATAAACTATTGAAACATTGATCGAGGAAGGAGGCTACATGTGCTCTGCTGCCGGTTTGAAATTAGTATAAGAGATGAGTTACATTTTATACCAAATTGGAGCTATGTAGGGTAGTTCTAGAAATACCAAGATTTGGATGGTAAATTTAAAAGAAGAACAGATTTGGAGGTAAATACACTTTTTAATTTCCAAAAAAAAAAAGCAAAACCTATTATAAGTAGTGCAATATACTCTTCAATCATTACTATGACTACAGAATTTTGTAATAAAGCAATGAGATAAATCTCGTATTGCATGGTGTTCTGTTTGCAAATTTAAAAAACATGGTCGGCTTTGTGTTTTCTCTACAAGCTTATGGAATTATGTGACTACTCTAAGAGACCTACGGTTTACTCATACTAAAAAGAAGAATCTTTTGTGGATTAAATGGGTTCGTGGCAACTATATAATAAAGAATGAGTCTACTTGGGAGGTCAAAGCCAAGAGTGGAGATTCATAGATGTGGAAGCAAATGCACAGAATTAGAGATCACGCAATCAGAACTTCTGGTGGTGTTCCTACTCTTATTATGGTTTTATACAGGGTAAAATTTTCAACCTTATACCAGAAACTTCCCTCTCCTTCAAATTAATATTGCTTCTTGGTATCGCACTGTTTGGGAGACCCCTGAGTTTTCCTTAGAGTGAACATGTCCAATCTAGAGTTAATAGACTTTAACTAGAGGCTAGAAACTAATTGTTAACCCAAAAAATTAGGGCCAGCTTGGATATTGGATTTGCCCCTACCGAAGGAAAGTCAAATGAATGTCATAGTATAAGTCTAGGTTAATGGAGGTTAAGGTAACATACAAAGCTTATTTTGAAATTTAGTAAGGAGAATATAAAGAATTTATTTCACCTCATTTGGGAAGTTTAACAATGTGAAGGGAATGTAAGTTATGTAAATTTACATAAAAAATATTACATGTTATTGGTAGAATTGTATTTGTCTAGTATTCTCTTGTTTTTTTTAAGAGTTTTCTTCCCCTCCATTACAACCAAATTTGGAGAGGAACAAAATCTCTAGTTTTTTCCCCCATAGTTACCTTTACTTTCTCCTAATTATCTACCCCAAATGAATTTCTAAACAGGATTAATGTGTCTCCTACCTTCCATATTAACCCCTATTTAAACATTCACTCAAGTAAGCTCTTAAATATTTAAGTATCGAGCCCAACTCCTATTTAAACACTCACTTTTTCTTGTAATTTTCAATGTGGGGCTATACTCACATATCAATATTACTACAGTATTGGCAATATAAAAATGAATGCAACCAATACATATATTTAGAGCGAAATTACAATTGATAATTGTTTTTAAATGTAACTTGGGCTGGGAATATGGCCCAACTTAATGAAATGGGCTTTACTTGGGTAAGCATACAGATGACCCAATTTCATATGATTTTTCCAAAAATATGATGCTTAAATATGAAAATATTAAAAGATACTCACTCCAATGTAAAAATCTTTTACTAGAAAAGCATAGACGCTCCAAACCCCACCATTCAGAAAGAGGAAAAAGGAGAGAGAAAAAGGCATGAATTCCACGCTTTGTGTTTGTACCACCAGCCTCTGTCACACAAAATTAAAACAATAAAAAAATAGAAAAATGGACTTGTGTCTCTCAATAAAAGAAATTTCCATCTAAATTTAAAGTTGTATCTCTCAATAAAAGAAATTTCTTTCATTTGAATGTCTCGATGCTCAATGATTTTATTAATTAAAATGAATTCTATATTTGTAGAGTCTAGGATTGGGTTAGGAGAATTTTGGGGGATTTTCAAAATTTTGGGGGTTAGTATTTGAAACAAGGATCTTTAACAGACGAATACAATTCAGCTAAAAATGTAGAACTTTTTATTGCGCACTTGTGCAGGAAAGCGTAACTTCGTGCGCTGATAGTATATCTTTCGGTATCGAATTTCTACCATGTAAAATCTTTTGTATTTTACCCTTTTACTTTTGTAACAATATATGCATCCCAAAATATATATATATCCCAAGCAAAAAGATACCACTGTCTCTCAAAGCCCGGCCCGAAAAACCATGGTTTTGAATATTCTTAGTTGGTTCAATTTCAAAAAAGTCCTCTGAAGAAAATAAAACTGCAGAAGTTAGACCCACCATTGCTGCCATAGGCGCTGCGTACATGCCTACAGTGAGAGCTGCACAGATGCAGCCTGTAATGAGAAGCCTCAAACTCCCATGAAACGCCAATAGAGTCACCAAGAAAACCGCACCAAACATCCCTATGTTCAATCCTCCCGCCAATTTTGCAATTTTAATCTGCAATTAACCAAATTTGATCCAATTTCATTATCAAATCCATTGAAAGTCTCAGACTCGAGATAATACTTTAGCTTCATTAGTTAAAAGAGAGAGAGAGAGAGAGAGAGAGAGAGAGAGAGAGAGAGAAATTGTAGATACAAAGTCTGTCCTTATAGACTGTTTTATCAGCACGTAGACCCTGCCCAAACGGAATTATCTTTTCATTATTTGTGCATGTGTGGTAGGCATTATAATAAATAACGACCGATATATTGATATATGGGCAGATATATCAGATTCTACAGCAGGTCACAATGATATTAACATGTTTATAATATTTTCTGATTTTTAGAATTTTTTTCCGATATATCGTCGCTAACCAATTATCCTAATATATATCCTCAATATCAGTAGATATTGGGATTTTTTTTTTGGGTTTTTTGAATATAGGCTTGGTTTGTTGTTTCCAACTCAACCCAAAAATCAAACAAATTAAAATTGTCTATTTGCTTCAAAAATCACAAGGGGTCTCACAAAAATCCTAAACCCTTACACTTTCAATTCTCTCGCTCCTTTCTCACTCTCCGCTGGTAAGCTCCCCCTCCCTTCCCCTCTCTCCCCGCCATCTCTCTTTCTTTTCCTTGCTTTCTCTATCCTCTCTTTGTCTTTCTCTCCTCCTTTCTTCTCCAGCCCTCTCTCTACCCTCTCTTTCTCTCTCCGCCCCCTCTCTTCTTTGTCTCTCTTCCTCCACCCCTTTCTCTATCGCTCTCTATCTCTTTACCGTGTCTCTTTTAATGTTATGTACTTTGAAGGTTTCATGATTTAATCGAGACGGAAATTTCTACAATCTCTATTAGTCATCCTAAAGATATATCATGATGCAATTTCTCGTATTTAGAAATCATTAAATATGTTTAGAATACATATTAGAATGTTGTACTATGCATGAACATCATCCGATATGGCACCCCGATATTTACTATGTATTCTTGGTGTATCCCCAACATAATCCGGTTTGGATTTTGGTCATCCGATATTTATGCAATATCCGATATTTAAACCAATGACTGTAGGACGTGTGTGTTCAACACTTACAAGAGAAGAGGGGTTCGCTTGGTACCATTGATTATATCAAGGGATCTTTCAGCCAATACACATTGGACATGTGACGTCCTCCATGTAATGAATATGGATAACAAGTATAGATAACAAAAAGATAACTCCATTTAGACATCAAAGAGTTTAATAGCTCATAATAAAATTTGGAAATAACAAATAGCTAACCCTCTATAATAACAGAGAGGGTACATATGGAATTCAAACAAAAATAAATTGAGAGAATACTTACTCTAGTCTTTGTAGGAGCATAGATGAGAAAGAGTACTACATATACAACTTGCATAACGCTGCCCGCTCCATTCACAGTGACAACAAGAAGACCCCCCGGCTTGAGAAGCCCATAATAAGTCCAAAGTGATGTGCTCAATAGAGTTGTCACGTAGGGCAGCCCTTCATAATTCATGGTTGATTTCTTCTTCACAATTCGCAAAAATGTAGTTCTAAAATCATTTCACAAACAAAATTTTAATCATTTCATCAACCAAATAAATTAATGAGCTTAACTGACGAAATGAAATTGAATATCATGCTGTATTAATCATACAGAATATAGTTAGTTTCGAAATACTTCATATTATAGTTATACATAGCAAATTAATTACTTACATTGGTGAAGCAAACACTAGTATGGAGATAAAGTTCCCTGTTAAAACACAATATTTCCAAGTTAAAAAGAGGGTATGATTGAAAAAATTTATACAATAGAAAGTAGATAATGAAAGTAGACAGCAAAAGGAATCAAACATATAGAAAAATAGCAAGTTTGATGGGCCTTTGGAAAATTCAAGATACGCACCCACAATTCCAACAAAAACGCTTGGAGCTGCCATGGAGGAACTCAGTAGTGAAGAGCTCAGAGTATAAGGTTAGTGTTTATATAGAGAGAAAGAGGAGAGAGAGAGAGAGAGAGAGAGAGAGAGAGAGAGAGAAACGTGGCAAAATTTGCGTCATGTGATGCAGATTTGCTGCAGGAGGTACACGATCCCCTTTACCCCGTCGACGAGGGTCAAACCAAAATTTGGTAATCACTCGTGACGCATGTTTCCTTAACCTCTCTTGTACATATTCATATGACATTCTTCCAGTCTATACTCTTGAAATGTTATGTATATACCTACAAATCGACGTATATTCAAAGAATCCATATCGATCCGTTGATTTTATCACGGAATGTTTTCCACCCTACAAAAAATCAAAAGCTACGCACAATGAGAACTAAGGCTTATAGTCTTACGTACGTTCTAGCGCGCATCAGTTTGTTGTTAGCATTTTTTTCATTGGCTGAAATCTGGCATATCTTATGAGATATACATTTTGCTTGTGGTGGGAATTGAACTTTGATTATTCTGATACTATCTTAAAGTCCTTATCAAGTCATCAAAAATGAAGCAGTGACGAAAATTGAGGGTTATTATTCTACGTTTTATATACTTTTTAAATACGTAAACATTATATGCATATCATGTGTACAAACCGTGCTAATGTACTTAATTGAAGTAGGGGGAAGGGAATACTCAATTACAATGAGACAGTGAGTTTTTGGGCCTTCCTTTGTGTGTGTGTGTGTGTTGTGTCCCACCGGGGGGGGTTCGTTTGTTATAACTGCAAATGTGATTTGTAGCAGCAGTAGGTTCGTGTTCTAACTATAAATGTGATTGTAGAAAGTAGTAGGTTCACCAATTATTGTGGACCCAAAGTCAAGGGCGTGCGTGCGTGGAGACGTGAACTTGTTGGGCATTTAATTTGATTTGATTGGACTTGAGAGAGAGAGAGAGGAAGAGAGAAGCCAAACCGACCAAAAAAAGAGATGGTAGCAGGTAATTAGTAGCTTTTGGGATTGGTGAATTTGCGTGTAAATGCAGCGTTGAGCATTGGGGTGATGACGAAGCACGTAAGAGAGGGAGTTGTTGCTCTGATTCGGGTTTATTCTAGAATCTAATGGAAATAATCATTAGCCTGAATTTATGTTAATTAGTTCCTCGCTAAATACATAGAGGGAGCTGCTTTGGGGTGCATGGGTTTGTTTTATACTTAGAACGGCAAATGCATTCGCGACTCAAGATAGTCCTAACTCTTGTCAACGGTTTTTAATATGACCGCATCAGCAATTCCCTTGTTAATTTCTAGCATATTTTGTTTTCGCAATAATCTTTTGATGTTAATATATAAAAACATCCAACCAAATATATGCGTCAAAATTTGGTCGCAAATTGGAACAACATGGAGCTCCAACTACTTCCGTCAAAACCATCTTATTATGTTCCTAGGACATCGTTATTGTGGTTATTCCCAATTAGAAAAATGCATCAAGTGGCAAAATTGGATAATCTACTCTATTCAATTTGTCTCGCTTATCCTAGAAGGTTTATCGAAAAAAATCATGTATATTGTGCATATACTTCCTATGCAACAGGTGGTTGCATTGGTGATTCATTCAATTTGTCATGATCAATATATCTAAAAGACAGCTATGCAAGAAAAAAACTAGGTGTTTTTTACTATTTCTTATCAATTTTTTTTTCCTTTCTCTCTCTAGTTGTATAATTGTAAAAAAAAGATATTGTAACAACTTGATGCATAAGTAGTTACAACTAAATATGCATAACTTTTTGTTTGTAGTTGGAGGCGTATAGATTAAGATGATCAGATCAATCGTTCAAATTTATTGTTGTGCTCTAATACCAATTGTTGTTGAAAACCGTGTCGAGGAACCAAACCAAACGCCGATCAAAGACCAATTGTTGTTGAAAACCGTGTCGAGGAACCAAACCAAACGCCGATCAAAGAGGGCCAAAACCAACCAAAATCAATGCACAAACAAAACACCAATTTTAACGTGGTTCGGCAAGTTACCTACGTCCACGGGGCAAGGGAGGATGGGATTTTCACTAATAGAGAAAGAGTACAAACTGAGAATACAAATCACTCAAAGGAACAAACTAATCTCACCAACAAAACTCTTAATCTCTCCAAAATAAAACCCTAATCAAAAGCTCAAAAAATACCTTTTTTGTGCTCCAAATATCCCCCAATCAATGTTTAATCAAAGCCTAATCAAAGCCTTAAACAAAGCCCTAAACAAAGCCAAAAAAACCCTAAAAACGTGTCTCTATTTATAACAAAACACAATCCCAAACTGGTTGGGATTCTAAAAACGAGTCTGCCACACCCTGGTGTGGCACACACCACACCCATGATAAACATGGTAGATTCTGTCACACCAGGGTGTGGCAAACATCACACCCATGACAGACAGGACAGATTCTGCCACACTCATGGCAGACACCACACCAGGGTATGGTGGAGACTGTTTTGCTTATTCTTCACGTTTTTCTTAATTCCTTCCTTAATTCCTTTGCCGTTTTCACAATTCTCCACCTCAACGAAGTTTTTTTTTCAAAACTGAACAAACACCAACCAAACTCAATGTCCCACTTGTTACGTCCAGGACGTTGTGAAACCCTTCACGACAACGGACTCAAACCACAACAAGTCGAGACCCAAATGAGAATGCGAACACTCTCCAAACGTCGATGTCTACTCACCAAATTGGCTGCATCAAAACTGACTGCCTACGTATCCTCTTGTCCAAGGAATCAAGCCTTCACGTAGTTCACCCAAATGACCTCCAAAGGCCCTCAATCAAATAAAAAAGTCTGCAACTCTTCCCTAATATCACCAACGGATCTACAACTGATAGCGACCCCAAACTGATACAAATCAAACACCTCCATCTGAGGTGAACTAATGGTCGTATCCAAATTATGTCCACTAGCTGCAACCGAATCCAAAATCAATCCATCATCTGCATCCAAAATCAAATGATCCCCAACCTGTGCCACCTCAGCTGGAATCCTAAATAACACAATATGATCTGGAGTATGTGGAATAGGTTCCACCCAACGTGAAGTAGCATCACCCTCCACCTGCTGCGATATCCAAATGATATGATCAACACTCTCTACCTGCTGAGAGTCAAAAGTGACATAAGCTCCACGACAATCAAATGAGCCTCCGAATCCTAAACACGCAATCAGATCAAATCTCATATCCTCGATGTGACCAAATGCTGGGTAACCAAATATCTGACGCCAACCAAAATCTGAAGCAGCCCCACCAGATCCAATAACTCCTAATGCAACAGTCGACGATCTATGACTAAGATGACTCAAATATGTCGAAAGTCCAGAACCAGAACCAATGCTCGACCACCAACGCTGATCCTCCTCCAGAAAGGAACGAGCTATCGAAACTGTCATCTCATCTCGTCGCCCCAAAGTCTCCACATCAATGAAGTGTTTCAAGTTGCCATGAGCTCAGCACAAATGTAAGAAAGGACCCCTACCAAAGCTAGAACAACGAGTTACCTTTCTGTCAATACACTTCTTCCAATTGTTGTTGACTTCTAGGACTTTACACCAACGGGAACTGGTCGCGACCCAATAATGCCTAGAACAATTACCAACTGCGGAAACTACAAAACGATTACCTCCCAATGATGCCTCCTTGGAAGGCCCCCAAATGCCTGACTGAACACCTCCTAAAAGACCCCTTGCTCGATGGATAGAAGTGTCTAACTCCACCACGGTCTTGCTCATCCCAATGTGCTCAAAGGACTTCCATCTGTAGGTCAAAGTTCTCCTCAACAACCTATGCATGGCATCACCAATCATATATCCCAGTACCAAACAATGCCACAGTCTAGCCAAAGAAGTCGTCAGCGCTCTATCAATCACCGTGCTCCCAAGCAAATAGTATAAGTTACTCCTTCTGACGCCCTTCATCACAATCATGGACCCAAATGTAACCTTCAAACGTGCATCCGTCATCACAATCATGGACCCAAATGTAACCTTCAAACGTGCATCCGCCAAGGTCACCCTATAGCCTGCTACCTCAAAAGCTCCAAGTGAAATGATGTTGATGTAAAACGAAACAGGGGGTCTATCAGAATCAGCGATTTAATTCGAACAATGCAACGTTTCGCCAAAACACATGATATTCGGTAGGAAATTAATTAAAGCAGTTAATGTGACAGATGGATTTTAATAAGAATTTGCAACAATACTCATGAACAGTTCCAATCTCAAATATTTTAATCGCAATATTAATCATCATTTTGCAAGTTCTATATTCAATATCAAAATTAATCAGTCACATGTTCAGTTCCTCTCGACTCACAATTATACTCTAAGCAGTAAATATAAGATAATAGTTTAGAGATGATATACTCATGCATTTAGCTAAATAACTGAGATTAACAGAAAATACCGAGTCAAGAGAAAACGAAACCTTCAGACTTAACCCAACTGAAATCAAATCGGGTCTGTGCTTCTCCACAAGTCTGTATTGAATAACAGCATGTTGTTTGCTGCAAGAGGGATGATCTGTAGGGATATCTGCAACTTTCCTTTCTCGCCCAAAAAGATAACAACTCTGACGATGCACATAAAGGGGATCATTCAGCACTGCTCCAGCCTTAAAAACATACAACCGCCATCTTGTATCAGATTTTCGAGCACCTGCAGGTCCATTAACTAGGAGTGTGACACCTCGAACACGATTAGTCTCCTCAGCAAGCTTGCCAGAAAGTTCGAATGGTGGTTTTTGCTTATCTTTTCCTTAGCTTCGAGGGATTCTTCAGGGCAGGGGGATGTCGGCGCTGTTTGAAAACACAGGGGAGCAAGGGAGGGGGTGGTGCTCGTGGAGGAGAAGGAGAAACAGGGGTTTGGCGGTGGTTTATTGCATGTAGAGGAGAGATGGAGGGAGGTGACTGTGGTTGTCAGAGGTTGAAGGAGGAGAACGAGTTGGGTGGGTGGTTGATTTGTTTATGTGGGGAAGAAAAAAAAAATGACGGCTGGAAGAAGAAACAAATTAAGCTTAGGGTTTCACACCCATGGTTTCACACCAAATAAGCTAACAATTCATTTCAATTATTCAAATCATCCCCTTCACCTGATTACATTAGACCCTTAAATAGAGAAGTTACAGATTTTCCAAAATCTCACAAAATCTCTCACAATTAATTAGATCCCTCAAATCACTCTCTTGCTAAAACTGAATAACTACTAAATTAAACAACAATTCAAAATTTAAAATTCAAATTTCAAAAACTAAACTAATATGGGAGATTCCAAATTCTTGTTCTCATCAGATGTTCTTCTTCAATTGAGGAACGAACCTCACTCCAACCAACTACCGAATCACTCAGTCACTCATCCTAATCCGAACGGTGCCAATACCACCAATAGAGCATTCATAATCATTACCCATGAGCACGAAATCCCTTCTTTCCAACTCCTGAAAACTAGAGAACCAATCCCTCTTAGGGCAAATATGGTATGTAGCACCCGAGTCTAACATTCACTCTGTAGAGTAGGCAACACAAACTGACGACAGTGCAGATAATGAGTAGCCCGAAGAATCTGAATCTGAATTGTTGCCACTAGCCTTGACAACATTCACCTCTGAAGCCTGAATAGCTTTCCTCTTATTCTTCCCGGCTTCATCATTCAACTTTGGGCATTCAGCTTTTCAATGTCCATCATCTTTACAAAAAGCACACTGATTCCTACGAATTCCAAGATGTGCCCCTCTAGACTGTGACCTTCTACCTCAGTTTGGACCCTTTGCTCTTGCAACCAATGCCCCCGTTGTCGGCTCAATAGAAATCTCATTGTCCTTCTTCCTAAGTTGGTAATTCACTAATGCAGCGGTGACCTCACTATATGAAAGAGATGCCTTCTTATTAATAAGAGTAAGGACAAACGTCTCATATTCCTCGTCGGGTAAGGAACTCAACAATAGCAACGCCTTGTCATCATCTTCAACAATAACATCTACATTCGGCAGATCTGCAAGAAGCTTTGTGTAGTGGTTTATGTGATCACTAATGGATGTCCCATTCTTCAATTGGAAGCGATAAAGCCTCCTCTTCAAATGCAAGCGGTTTTCGATGCTCTTCGTCAAGTACTTACTCTCTAAGACTTTCCAAATCTTCTTAGCTGAAGTCTCATTCATCACATCATATTTTAGATCTTGAGTGAGATAAGACCTAATCACACCACATGCTGTCCGATTCATATTTTTCCAAACCTTCTCATCAATGTCGTCCAGTTTCTCGTCCAACTCCAATGTATCTTCCAAATTCTGCGTATTGAGCGCATCCAAGACTTCGCATCACCAAAGTCCAAAATTGTTAGTGTCATTGAACTTCTCCACGTCAATCTTCATCGAGTGGATACTCAAACTTTGGACAGTCTTCACACCTGAAGAACCACCCTCAACTCCCTCTTTCTCGGGCATAATCCTCAACACACCAACAACCAGTGCGGAAACAAACGAAGAATAGATCCAAAACTGAGAAAAGAAAGAAGCTTTACCAAAAAGATCCTACATTTCTCACCAACTGAAACCCTAGACGAGCTTCCCAAATCGATCTACTCCTCCAAATAGCCCAAGCATAGCTCGAGCTCTGATACCAATTGTTGTGCTCTAATACCAATTGTTGTTAAAAACCGTGTCGAGAAACCAAACCAAACGCCGATCAAAGAGGGCCAAAACCAACCAAAATCAATGCACAAACAAAACACCAATTTTAACGTGGTTCGGCAAGTTGCCTACGTCCATGGGGCAAGGGGGTGGGGTTTTCACTAATAGAAAAAGAGTACAAACTGAGATTACAAATCACTCAAAGGAACAAACTAATCTCACCAACAAAACTCTTAATCTCTCCAAAATAAAACCCTAATCAAAAGCTCAAAAAATACCTCTTTTTGTGCTCCAAATATCCCTCAATCAATGCTTAATCAAAGCCTAAAAGAAAGCCCTAAACAAAGCCAAAGAAACCCTAAAAACGTGTCTCTATTTATAACAAAACACAATCCCAAACTGATTGGGATTCTAAAAATGAGTCTGCCACATCCTGGTGTGGCACACACCACACCCATGACAAACATGGCAGATTCTGCCACACCAGAGTATGACAGACACCACACACATGACAGACAGGGCAGATTCTGCCACACCCATGGCAGACACCACACCAGGGTGTGGTGGAGCCTGTTTTGCTTATTTTTCTCGTTTTTCTCAATTCCTTCGCCGTTTTCACATTTATAACATACTATGTAGTTACGACGGTGGGTATAATCAAGTTAGTTATGTCCTAGGCATAGTAAAATCACTCCTCTACATAAAGCTACAAAAGAGTTGGTGTCTAGAGCTTGTAGGGTAATACTGATGTATACAGTAGAAAATATGTGTACAAAATACATATTCAAGAGATCCTTGAAAAATTGTTCCCCCTTCTGTGAGAGTAATCTAATTTCTAATACAGCATTACAAGACTTCCTCTCCTTCTAACCCTTATTAAAAGTATACAGAACTTTCACTCTTTAACTATTCTAACCTAATAAGACCCGTGTTAGAACTGATTTTGACGAAATGCATGTATGGCTGAAGATTTGGTTTTGAGCGCAAAAGTAATGAGCATGATATAAGCTTCGATTAGCAACATATTGTCCTCTATAATATACTATTTGAAGGTTTATCCAAAAGCTGTCCCTTTCTTTCTCGTGTTCGGATGGTCAAGTTTAACCGTAGACGCTAAAATAGACGTTCGACCAAGAGTCTTCATTTTATTTTTTATTTTTTAACTGCAATAAGAATGTTTTGCAGACAAAGTAAGATTCGTTTGGCGGAAATTTTGACGGCTGCTTTCAGATATCGATGGATTGGTGAGCAGAACGTATGACCTTTTGGAGGTTTGTTGATGATGTGACTTTATTAATTGCGGTCCATACGATCTAAACTCGGAAGTATTATGACTTCGACGTTGAATTTTGATGACAGAAACGATTGCTGGAGTTGGTATTGTTTTACCACCGAGCGTGTATCGACTCAGTGAAGAGGAATACCAGTGGCGAAGCCAAGATTTTGTTTCGATGGTGTCCCTATAAAGCCTAGTTGTTCTAAATAGTAAATACAGGTGAAAGTAGACGATTTTAGTGATATATCTTGTGACGTATCAGATGTATGTCTCGGTCACTTTACTAGAATCAATTTCTATTATAGCACCTGTAAAATCCAGTCAAATTTGTACCTTCTTGTTTGTTCCGAAGAACATCCACTTTGCATTAACTCATGACTAGTTCTCTGGTGCATACGATACGTGCATTTTTGTCATGAGGGTGTCTTTGCTTTTTTTTTCGAAGCGTGAGGACATCTGTAATTAGTCTTTACATATGTAAAGACACTTTTACAATTCTAAAAATATGGCTCACGGTGATCAAAAGGGGTTTTTTTTTTCCTTAATATATAGCGCATATTAATAAATAAAAACAATGGATGTCATTTCCCCGCATAAAACACATAATGCATACTTCTTAGCAAAAGCGAGGCTAGGCTTATTAATTTTATGACAACGCACGGAAAAGTAGAAATTGTATGGAATAATTGGAAATTCGGATTAATATGTTTTAAGAATATTACCTAATAACATCCTGCTTTTAGAAGAACCCTAGCTACTGTTTCCCTTCTCAAGAGAGAATCCTTAGTTACTGTTCCACGTTTCAGGAGAAATTAACCCAAAACTCTTGACAAGACATAAAGCCCTTTCTTTTAACTTTTAAAATGCATGAAGTGGACGTCTTAGCTTTTCTAACCAAAGAAGACAATACATATTATAAGATCATGAAGAAGTGAATTGATCATCTATTACGATTTGTAGCATTACTAATTAGACATTCAATTCAAAATTTAGAAAAACCAAGAAGATTAAGACTGAAACAGGGTTTGTTATGGAAATGGTCCCAGTCGACCATGACAAGGGTTTAAAATAAACACATCTAAAACACAAAAAAACTAAAATAGAGTCGCGTAAAATTAGAATTCCAATTTGAAGCTCACAGTCTGTAAAGGCTAATATTATCATCCAACGACTCATAAGAAAAAGTAATTGCTTATAATAAAAACCCATAACTATAAAATTATCCAAAGCGCTTCAATAATACTATAAATAGAACCCAATACCAACACTTCCAGCTATCCTACCGTTTGATAACTAAAACTCACAAGCGCTGCTGAAACTGCAATAACCAAAGATGTCTTGGCAATTGTCATTGGTAGCAATGTTTATAAATACAAGAAGCAATCGATGTGCAAGGACCACAAATAAAGAGAGTATTGTGTTTTTTATTCCCCAAAACAAAAACAAAAAAGTATAGAAGGCTTTAGAACATTCTGAAGCCAAGGCTACTCTCATCTTGCTTTATTCCCCTCCCAAATCAACCACAGAACGTGAAAGATGATGAAAACTATAGCCGAGACTGAGACTGTGATTTTGTTTGATTCAATGGGGCACTCTGCATCAATTTCATATGTGGAAATAAAGACTATTAGTATGACGAGCAATGAGAATGGGTAGAATCAAAATATTGGTATTGGTGAAAAATTTTCAAGCCCAAATCTGAATTCAAGTTTGGACAAATTTCAAAATAGACCCCTTTAGAAACTTATTTTCAAAAAATGACCCCTTTTGAAAATATTTGTCATTTTCAACCCAATTTCAGCCACCTGGGTCGAAAGTGGCGAAAAAATATCAAAAACTTCACGGGATTTTAAATCCCGTGAAGTTTAATGCCTCGTTAGCGCTAACCCAAACGCTAATGAGGCTTTAAACTTCACGGGATTTAAACTCCCGTGAAATTTTTTGATGTTTTTCAACCCATTTTCAACCGGGTGGCTGCAAGTGGATCGAAAATGGCAAATATTTTCAAAAAGGGTCGTTTTTTAAAAATAAGTTTCTAAAGGGGTCTATTTAGAAAATTTGTCCTTCGAGTTTTCTTCTTCAAACCCGCCTCAGGATGCACTATCCTTTTAGTATTTGTCGAATACTGAGTACACTCATGTTGTTTAATATTCTATATTTTATCAATATGAAATTATTTGATCAAAGAGATACTTTTGTTAATTAAAGAATTTGATTCTTTTAATATATTAAACTCATAATTGGATATTATTGATGCTTGAAAATCAATTTGGAACCCAAATTCTCTCAAATAAGCATAAAATGTCAATTAAGAAATATATATAATATAGAGTAAATTGCTAAAAGAATATAAAAATATAACATTATGTCCAATAATATGAAGCATAAGCTTAAATGCACAAATGAATAATTGATAAGCAAATCAAATCGAATATGTGAATCTTCATCTTCAACCCTTTTCATATATGAGTACCACCTCTAAAAAAGAAGATTGTTCTTACCAGGGAAGCTCCTTTGGCAGCTCGCTCTGCAAGATAAGTAGAAGGCTTGTAGAAGTTGCCATATGTCTTAGACCACAAATCCAGTCTTGAATATATGTATTTTGATCCAAGAGAGTCAGCCCAGAACATAACACCACCCCTGAAAACGCATCCATTCATGATTCAAGTGCAAGCAAAGAATGAGGGAGCTTTGCTATAAAAGGAATTATTTAACAGTAGATTTTAGGGGGGGGGGGGGGGGGGGGGGGGGGGGGGGGGGGAGGGGGGGGGGGGGGGGGGGGAAAGCAACGCAACTTTCAAAAAGTTGGTAATTTTTGTAATTAAAAGTAAATTGGGTCGATTTCTGTACTTAAATTTTACATATAGCTTTTTTTCCAAAATGTCCTTCAAAATAACAAGATGGAAGATATTGCAACAAATGAAAAAAAAAATGTAAGTGATCGTAAGTGAGTTACCTGTAAGAGGGGAATCCCATGCCCATTATGGAGGCAATATCAAGGTCTGATGCCTTGACAGCGATTCCTTCAACCAGTACACGGCAAGCCTCATTCACGACAGGGAAGAATACCATCTCTACTATGTCCTTATCTGTTAAGTTCGTGATCTGCATAAAATATTTATGCTTGTTAGATGTTTCAATGTGATTTCCTTGATGACACCAAATCTAATATAACAAGTTCCTCATAATCGAGAACTAAACACATTAGCGTACATCTCTAGCAAGAACAGAATTAAATATGTGAACCTTGGCATCAGCCGTAACGCCAGCCACACTTCTAGCCTTTTCAATATACTTCTTTATTTCAGGATCTGGACTAGCCTTTCTCTTATTATCATAAACATAAAAGCCCTTGCGAGTAGCTTCACCTGTCAAAAGAATAAGGTATAACTATTAAGAAAAACATACACATAGGCATAACAGAATAATGAAACATGCCCATGAAGACGGATACTCACGCACCCGCAAAATAGTTTAGAAACAAAAATAAAATAAGGGGAAGATGTGTTTATTCTCCTCCAATTTGTATTGTTATTTTTCAATTTCAATCAAATTATTCTACCATCCCTCAATTTTTAATCCATGTTTCATTTCCACTTTTCAAATTTCTGTAGAACAACATGTTTATACCCTCTCCATTGTTAATTTTTCTACCCTCCCACCACTTTTATTCATGATTAATCCAAACTTCTCCAACTCATCACCTGTTACCCCCATGTGAAGAAGCAACTTTTGCAGCTTCGAAATGTCAGTTGTGTACATTTTTTATTTGGATTTTATGACCCATGGTGATAGTATTGTTAAGTTCATTATACAACTATCAATTTCAAGACTGTTTTAAATTCCTTGTGCTAGCATACTACAGCAACTTTTTTGTCCCCTGTTTGAAATGAACTGAAATGTCTTCTATAGAATAACTGTGTTACTTGCATGTTAAGTCTCAGAATTCAAAGGTCACAGGTTCTACTTTCATGATACTACTTTTTATCAGTCAGGTATATGCAAAAATGTCCGTGACTGGCACATCAATACTTCAATCTCAAAAGGTAAAGTGCTACTAAAGGAGTAGTAAAACAAAAGTAAAAACTGAGACAAGGAAAAAACAATAAATTTTAGCTCAAAAAGAGTATAATCCTTCCCAAAGTAACACATGAATCACATCACAAATATATAACTAAGAACTAGCTCATGCAAACCTGCCCGCTTGTCCTCAAGCATGGTTGGAATTAACACCGACTTGTAGCATCTCTCAGGAAAGCTTTTAAGGTATTGGGCCCCAGTAGCGACGGCAACCCCAAAACCAACAAGGTCAGCCAGTCTGTACAGTCACAAAAGAGGCAAAAGGTCAACCTTGATAGCCATCAGATAAAGTTTCAACATTGAAACTTGGGTAAATTTCACAAAATCTCCCAAAACTTATTGGCAACTTTGTTTTTCCCACAATACCTCCAAAATCCACCACCACCACCACACCCCGCCCCCCCACCACCCCCCCCCAAAAAAAAAAATTCACCCCACACCAAAAAAAAGAACTTACCTTTTCCCACAAGACCGCCCAAAAAAAAGCCTTTTGCAATTGGAGGACCTTATTATCTGCACAATTCTGTTATTCCTAGTCTTTGGAGATTTGGGGGGTTTTGTGGGAAAAACAAAGTTAAGCGGGATTTTGAAGGGTTTTGTGGAAAAATCAAAGTTAAAGGAGCGTATCGTGGGAAACGCCCCAATGCTTTGGTGGGTTCTGTGAAATCTAGCCCTGAAACTAATATTGAAGTTCATTTTTCTAGTAAAAAACTATTAACACCTGAAAGGACCCATTGGCATTCCAAATTTGCTAATTGCACGATCAATCTGATATACATCCAAGCCACAATCAACAAGCAGTAGTGCTGACTGGGTGTAAGGAAAAAACATCCTGTTGACAGCAAATCCAGTACAGTTTCCAACCACAATGGGAGTTTTGCGTATCTTTTTACCAATATCTAGCAAGTCCACAACAACTTGGGGAGATGTCTTCTCAGTTCGTACTATTTCCAGAAGAGGCATTATGTGGGCCGGACTGGAGATGAAGCATTATCTGAGACATGAGGAAGAAAGAAAAGGAGGAAGATGGAGGTAGAAATTAGCAATTTTTATTTATGTTATTGATACCTGAAGAAATGTGCACCAATAATTCGATCTTGCGACTTTGTCTTTTCTCCAATTAAATTGAAATCTATTGTCGAAGTGTTACTAGAAAGAATGCAATGCGGTGGGCAATATTTTTCTAGGTCAGCAAATATTTGCTGCTTTAGTGCTACGTTCTCAATTACCGCCTGCCATGAAATAAAGAAAATGACATCAGATGAGAAAATAAAAGTAGATGAAAACGTAAGCAGATGATACAGAAAACAACTTACCTCTATGACTAAATCCACATCTTTTAAGTGCTCATAATCAAGAACGCCGGTGAGATGAGTAAGGGTCTTCTGACAGTTTTCTTGAGTCATTTGCCCTTTCTTGACCCGACTTTGCAAGTTGGCTGGAAGCATGCATGCCAATGAGATTACATATGTAAAAGACGAGAGAACCATAAGGATATGAGAAGCCACTCTAACCTTTGATTCTATCAATCCCTGCTTGCAAGAAGTTCTCATTGACTTCTTTAAGGATCACCCGATAATTGCTAAGAATTAATGCTGTTGCAATCCCAGAACCCATCAGACCTCCTCCTAGAATTGCAACTGAATTTATTTTTCTTGGCCTTAAACCCAGATCAGTAATTCCAGGAACCTATCACAAGTTTATAAGCTGAGGCAGTCACATAAGAGTAAAAAATGCCATTAACCATAAAGCTGCTGACTGTGATCTTAATGCCAAGATCAGTGAAGAATACCTGGGAAAGTGTTTTAACAATTGAGTGAAATCAATTCAGCAGGTTCTATAGTGGATACGACACATTGATAAGGTTGAAAATAAAAGACATCTAAGGTTAGACAAAATCCAAGGATTGCAACAAAACAAAACAAAGTGAGCATTGGAGATGCGATAATGGTTTAGGAACAGTAGATGAACTACTTCCTGGGAAAGGCTATTTCATCAAAATAACATAAAATAAAAAACAGATCTCGTTACTTTAGAAGGAACCCACAACACGAAGGTGGCAAAGATATTCATAAGCTGAGAGAGAGAGAGAGAGAGAGAGAGAGAGAGAGCTCTGTCTGCTTCTGATTCTTGGTAAGAACAAAAAGAATCATATGCACTTGCGTCCTAGTATAGTATTGAACAGAGTTAAACCATGTACATAGTCACTAGCACAAATACACATACACATATTTATGAAAAACGAAGTTCAGACATAAGCCATATCAATGCAAGACATCCACATAGCTCCATGATAGTGTAAAAGGGCAATGTAAAGAAATGTAACATCATCCCAGACTTTATCTACCTTTGAAGTTGCACGTTGCGAGAAAAAGAAATGTATTAGGCTTTTGCTTGTATCAGTAAATTGAAGATCATAAGACGCTTTAGCTTCCTGCAAAATCGAGTTATTGCACAATTTTAAAGTCTTGATAACAGTTTATCTGTAGATATAGTGTTTTTAAGAGAGAAAATTACCTTCCAGAGACCAGCACGAGGTCCTGAGACTATACCTTCTTCAATAACATCAATACAAACAATTGGGTGTTGGAGATGGGGAGCTTGTTTGCGAGCTTGAGCTCTTGCGAACTTGAGAATTTCTCTAGCCTCTCCAAGGGGCTCTATCTTATCAGTCTTGTATAGACTCTTGATCCATGGCTTTCTACACTCTACAATATCCAGAGCCCACTGTCGAGCAATCTTCGGCAATTCAGCAGGTGAAACTACAGCATCAACGAGACCCAGCTTATGAGCTTCCTCTCCTTTTATTGGTTTTGATGTCTGTTCATCATAATATGTATATGTTTATGAGTTTTCTTCCCGACTATTTGCTCTTCTACTCAAGGCAACTAAGCCTAAATACCAAAATATATAATGCACACAACAGAGTTGATGGTACCTTACCAGCATCATTTCAAGACCTTTAGAAAGCCCAACCAGACGTGGAAGTCGTTGTGTTCCTGAAATACAGAGCAATAGTAGTTTGAATGATCAAAGCTAGATATGTAACAAACTGTATTATCACCTTTAATCAATAAAGGAACTACAGTAACATAACCTAGTCAAACATTACCAACATAAGTTTCTCATCAAAATATGGACGACTGTGGATCATTACCATTGACAGAGAAGGTTCTAAACAAACGGACTAAAATTACATGACTGGCTGCCAATCTAACAGGAATCCATGCCTTGATGCTGAAGTTGAAACCAAGGAAACTATACAAATAGCAAGGCTTGCCAAAAAAACCTCAGAAATCATTTGCAGCTAGGGAAATCTGCCTCATTGATCACACAAATTTCAGCTCAAAAGAAATTGGTAGCTCCATTACCAACTTCGATAAAAATAAAATCCTAGAATATGAGCACAGATGATAAGTTCCAGTCTGTAAATTGAATTGCATTCTTTTATAAGCCATAGTAGAAGCCACTTCCCCTACCTAGAAAGATTTTTCTGTTCTTATGGGATAAGTCCCATCAGTAGGCTACAATCAAAATTTTAAAATCCAAAATTCAGTATGAAACAAGAACTCCTTGTTTTTTGTCTAAGCTCTGATGTCCAATGACGTTCACACCTAGTGTAGGAATAAGGTCGTATCTGTTGCGTTTTCGACCTATTGATACTTTATTAATTATAGTCAAGAATATAAATTTAAGAGTTTCGCCGATATTGTTCCCCTAAATATTGTAAGTGTTTTGAAATTAGTCGCTCTACTACAATTACTATCCAAAATGTTAACATCAAGTTGACATGGTGATAGTGGTTCGATCACCCTCTCCATGGAGTCTTAACTCTCCATAGACAGCCCAGTCAGTGGGGAAAATCTTCGATGCTGATGACAGACGTGAGCCATGCATACTTTATTTCCTTGGTCATAAGATTTAATGTGAAACAAACAGTCAATGTGCTGAAATCTTCATGAGGCGCAATTTCCAAAAGTTACAACATTTCACATGCCATCCTCGAAATATGTTGCATGATACCAAAATAAGTTGGCAAATGTGCTGAAATAAGTTGGCAAGTGAAATATGTTGCATGATAACAAACAGTCAATGTGCCGAAATATGTTGCATGATAACAAACAGTCAATGTGCTGAAATCTTCATGAGGCGCAATTTCCAAAAGTTACAACATTTCACATGCCATCCTCGAAATATGTTGCATGATACCAAAATAAGTTGGCAAATGAAAATTTCTCAGCTTGAAGGAGTTTGCAAAGCATGTTGTGGAGCAGCTGAAACATCTTAACAATTTAAGTAAACAATTGAACTATACTAAAAGAAAACTATACTAAAAAACTCCTAATAGAATATAAGTAAACAATTGAACTATACTAAAGAAAACTCCTAATAGAATATAAGGCATAAAATCATGCAGACCATCAAAGTTAGTTCCACTTCAAAGGCCTCGCTGATATTCATTCCATTATCATGATGTTGATCAAGCATTCAGCGTTCTACCAGAATTGTGAATCCAATTCTTGGTTTCAATAATATTATTGGTTTTTAATGGAAATTTAAATGAGTGGGGAGAATACTAAATATTACATAATATGAAGTCCAAATCAGAATCTTATAAACTATTATATTTGAATCTTCAAGTGGATCCTAAAAATTTATAGTGGATATGCAATTGGATCTAGTGAGATCCAATACAAATCTAACCAGGGGGAACAATAAGAATGGGATAGTTGATGCATAAATTCCAAATTTTAACTGGTATAGAAGGCAAGCCACAAATTGGTTGGAGCTAAATAGAGAAAAGTTTAAAAACAAAGTCTACAATAATAATGTATAAATATCAATCATCATGGTAAAATATAGCTTCGTTTTACAAGCTCAGACCTCTATTGAGTTGTAGTAATTGCAGGGATTCTCCAAATATTGGTGTCAAAATTACTCTCTATGGCTTCATGATACAACAATATCAGGCAATCAGAAGATTTCAAAACCATGTTGCTTCTACAATACAACAACATTGAACTGGAAAAGAATCCGCCGTAAAGACAAATATGATTGGAAATCCTCAGGGTAGTCTGTTCATAGTTGAACTATTATATCAGTAAGTGGAAGCTACTAAAACCGTAGAACACGTTTAATAATACACTAGTATAATGCACGTGCTTTGCACGAGAACGTATATGTTTTAAGTTTTGATTTTTTATTAAATAGTAAAACTATGTGTTAATAAATAAAATTATATAATAAGATTACTTAAAAAGAAATGTATGAATTAATTATTATTGTGTAGTTATTGTAATTGAATGTTTTTCTTATAATGATCGTCCATTGTTAATTTTTTTAAATAAGTCTCCAAATCTAAAATTGTTCTCAGATAAAACTGCTAATTCTATAAGTTCTCTTATATATGTCCCTCCAACTTGAAAGTTATTAAGTTAATTCTAAATTAACTAAGCTGCATTAATCTTGCTAGTTTTTTACTAACATTCCCTAGATAGTTACACTTGATACCTACAACATATTGTAATAGTTACTTCTCATTAATAATTATTTAATAGGGTAAATTACACTAAACCCATATGAACTTTCAGTCAATATGAACTTTTAAAATTACACTAAACCCCTAATGACTTTTCTGTTTCAAATAAAACTCCCAATAACTTTTTAAATTTTGCAAATAATCCCTATAAATTAGAACCAGGAAATGGCATAAAAAGGCATTTGAAAGTTATTGGGGTTTAGTGTAATATATGTAAAATGTATTGGGGCTTTCTGTAAAAATTAATAGGCGTATAGTGTGATTTCAAAAGTTCATAGGGTCAACTTACTGCAAAATACTAAAAGTTCATGGGGTTTACTGTAATTTACCTTATTTAATATTATAATTCTTAGTTCAAGTAATACTATTAAAATAATTATACTTTCTATATACTATAAAATATTTATCTAATTTAATTTTTTTAACTGTGCTCTTAAATAATTTTGTACTATAAATATTTTATAATTTTTTATTATACTGTCATCAACAACTATAGCATTATTATTAATATTAAATAATTTCTTGTGAAAAAGTTAGTTATCAATCATTACCAAGTTTAGATTATTCAGTATCATGTAATAATCTTTGAGAAAATACTCTAAAAATAATATTAAATTATTTATTTAATTTATTCAATAATATAATACTAAATAAATAGTGCAATTCGTAATTTATGTGACATTATTAAAATAATTACATTATTTATGAGATTCAATATTTTTCTATTTATTTTATTGCTTATTGAATTATAGTATAATTCTTAATAGTATTAGCAATATATTATTCTATTTATATTATTATTTTAATTATTTTATTATACTTCATAAATAAGTATTATAATAATTAGTTAATAATTGTGTATACTTATTTTATAAATTATTTTATTTTATTATTTTTAAATAATTAATAGTTATAATATTATTGATAATTATAATTATTTAGGAATGTGAGGGGTGCATAATTAATAAGTGGTTATATTTATTTAATGAAAGATTAATTAGAGAGAATAGCATCGATAGAATTTATCAAAATTTGAGAGGGCAAAAAAGAAAATGAAAAATTTTAACACTCCAATCCTCTTTTTATAGTAGTATAGATTAAGCAGAGAAAACCTAGAGTACATGGTATGTCATAATTTTTCAAATTCACATGACTTTCCAAAAGCGTGGACCGGAGAATATGTTCAGATGTTGGACCCTAAGTATCCATTTCCTAAAATGATGAAAGCAATTAAAAAAGAATAGTTGGTGAAATAAATACCTCCTAATCCTGGAATAATTCCGAGTTGAAGTTCAGGAAGTCCAAGCTGAACATTAGAAGTGGAAATGCGGCTATTGCAAGCCTGAATTGTACAAGGTAACAATATGTTAAAAAGCAACCATAAATTAATACGGAAAACTAGAATAAATTGAATCCTGACACATACCATTGCAATCTCTAGTCCGCCACCAAGGGCCAGACCATCAATAGCTGCCACTGAAGGTTTCTTTGCACCTAAGAAGGAAGAAAGGCAATGAAACTGAAAAACACAGGTTTTCCTAATGATAATAAGGTCAGATCTACAAGATTTTAAAAAATACCTTCTAAAACATCTGCAACAAAGTACACAGACATTGCACCAACCTCCTCCTCCTCTGTTTGGATACAGAAACGTAATCAGTGAAAAGCTAAGAAACATCATTAAACTAAAAAAAAGTAAGGTTCATGCTGTATACTAATCTTACTTTTTCCACCCCCAAAGGAATTGATATCAGCTCCTCCAGAAAATTTTCCTCTTGCACCTGATCAATTATCACAAGCCATTAGCATCCTCCATGCAAGCAATATCCAGAGTCTGCCACAGAAAAAAAAGGGAGGGATGCTTAACTTGCATTACCTGTAATAACAACTGCTTTCACATCATCTCGTTTCATGGCTTGTTCATGATTCTCTTTTAGACTGAATAACACTGGAACAAGAAAGAATATTGGTAGTAATTC